TTTTAGTTCTAATACCGCAGAGCGCGTATTTGTTTATCTGAATTATCTTCGCTTTTAGACTTCGTTGATCTGCAGGTTGCGCCTTCCAAATGCTGTACATTCAGGCTGTACCTAGATGAGGTGTTCCTATATTCAGCGCCGCGTAAGGGAAGGGTCCAAATGCACTTCATGACCTACATTTTGCGTCACTTGGAATTCACGAACGCCTTCTTTGATTATGAGTTTGAGGTCCCGCCCACACTACGCCTCAGAAATTTGAAGACGCAGCTTTATTTCTTCGGTTAGGCCTACCGTCCACACTAGTCCGTCACGAAAACAGAGCTTTCCGAAAACGCTCTTCAAACCGGAGGAATTTGAAAACACCGGCTTTGCGTTTCCGTGTGGACAGAAAACATTTTGAAAACGGAGCTTTTCGAAAACGATGACGTCACGACAATCATGTAATTTCCCTGACCGAGTCCTCCTCAATCAAAAATCCAAATGACCTATGATCGCTGCCTTCTCAATTTTATCCGGCGTAGTGTGGATGAAAAACAACTGATACGTTCTCAGAGTGAAAACGCCGTTTTCAAATTTCTCCGCGAGAGAAAGAACGTCATTATATATAACTAGCCAAACGAACGTCACTATATATACGTATCCAGCGGCGTGTTACAAGACCCTCCGTTGTTTGAGACTCCTTGACTAGAAACGCCCCACAGGTATGTGTCAATACATTCATTTCACGTGGCTTGCGACTCGATGGCAGTTCTATTTGTCATTAGCTAAGCGGCCGAAAGAACGTCGAAATGTCTGCATATCCAGCAGAGTATTGAAGAACTTTCTGTTGTTTGAGCCTTCGGTTTAATTCCTCGGTGGCCTTCCTGTGGCACATGACGCACAGGGTTCTGTAGTTGTCTAATCCACACTCCCCACCCCCCTCAGACACGGGCGTAATATGATCCGCCTCCCAGAACTACAAACGAAGGAAGCAAAAAGTACATAATCAAATCAAGTCTTCGAAGCTGAGTTGCGTTGCGCTACGTTGCGCTGCGTTGCGTTTCGCTCCGCTCCGCTCTGCTCTGTTCCGTTCCGTTTTGAGAAGGCTAGGAGAGGCAAAAGATCGGAGCGCATTAATTGGAGTTTCCCGGGAAATGGAAAGTGGGGAGAGGTTGCTAAGGCTACTTTGCATTGGTACACTAAGCTTCCCAGCAATCATGGACGTGTTGTTATTCCACATCGGCGGAAAGGAGGAAAGTGAGCAGACTAGCTGTTGCCTAGAAGCGTTAGCTCCACTTACCATTCCCTCTTTTGGTTCCATGACCATCTTTTTCAGCGTCCTCTGTGGGAGGGCGGAATAAGGCGTTCGCGCCAAGAACGCCGGTCGATTGCGGACGCTCAGAACTGTGACGCTTTGGTACAAGCTGTGAGCGTCCAGGAAACACAGCTGGCAGATGCCTCGCTCTGATTCAAACAGTGCCCTCCTTACAGCTGTACCGCTGACACGAACCTGGAGGACAAAAGAAAGGTGGTCAGTGTAGGGGCTGTTCGCTCTATAGGGCTTGGTGTACTTTTTATTTTATTTTATATTTATTTTTAATTTTNCTGGTGCAATCAGTTTTTCTTTTTCTTTTGTTTCCTGTAATCCGCGGTTTCTTAACTACACGAACCTTTCCTCCAATTTCTTCCGCAGTATCGATGACATTTTGAATTTGAGTTTCCTAAAGTAGAAAAACGACACATGTTATTGTAGATACACTGTTTTTGACTGTTGGCTTGTTTACTTGTCCTATACAACTTCTCATATGGACTTTCTCATAATATGTCAACAATATTACTTTATATTATATATCACAACTATATGCGAAATATAACAAAAGTGTCTACCGAAACAATGTACTCTCTGTAAACATTGAACGAACAGTTAAATTTGATCCGCCGAACCCCAAGCGTTTGGACTTTGGTTAATTTTTTTTCAACACTTTTGTTTACTATTACTTCGCCTAAGATACCTGTTTATGTAAGTGCAATGGAGTTCATGAACACACAAAGTGCTGAAAGGTTAGTTGTAGGAAAAAGGAACAGTGGCTCTCCTTGCAGATAGCGTATCCACTTGTACGTAGAAACGGGCAAGGAACGGGCAACAATAAATCACGTTGAGACTTAACACCTCATGAGCGTTACCAACCTTTGATGGATGTCGCACATAACTTGATTCTCTGGTTATACCCTGAAAAAAAAAAGATACATGCATACACCGTCAGATTGCTACATTAACGTCAGAATCGTCACCTTCTCACAATGTGAGCGCGTTAATGGATAGCCAACAGAGAGTTTACTGAAGAAACGACGGCAACGGCAGCGGTAACGTTGCATAACAAAAGATTTAATGAGCAGGACAATGGCTGTACACATGCGTTATAATTCTTGGAACATTTCTTTGCCGTCCTCTGCAAAACAGCAACTGAAATGACCAAATTCTGCGTTGTCTGAAGAACGTGAACCACGAGGGCTAATTTTTTAAATTTCTATTTCAGATTTATCGCTGTGTTCCGGAATTAGTTTTGTGATAGTTTTGACAGTGATAAACAAAGTAAATGACTTGAGAGTATCGCGAGATTCAAAGGTAAAATATAAAATCAGTTTTTAATCGACGTTATCCTCGGCGTCGCCGTCGTGGCTTCTTAAACTCCCTAGTAAAGAGGTACAAGGAAACACGCTCATTTTAGCATTCCGTTAATGATAGCACACAAAAGCTCCTGTTCAAAAAGAGTAATTCTGACGCCTACTCGTGAACAGAACCAAAAATCACGAAAGTCTCGGGCATAGCACTTTATCCAACTTGTTACAACAACGGTACTTATATGCATACCTTTCTTGCGCATTCGTAAGCCTCCAGAGGATTATCAAATATCAGCGCCGACTTTCGGAGGATGCGCTTCTTTCCTTCACCCATCCTGAAATGCGACGAGAACATCAGCGCAATGAAAATATCAGTAACCTTTTTAGCCTCTTCAGTCATATCTTAAACCCCCACAAGGGTGACCACTGTGACTCAAAGGAGAGGCGCGTGACCAGGGGAGCTAGGACAGCCTTGCATACGGCTGGCGCACCTGAAATTTGAATTGACCAATCAGGGTTCGGCAGGCGGGAAAAAACTATCCTGTCCTGACGCGAATGTATGTTAACAGGAAAGGCATTGAAGGCGGGCAAGTATATTCTCACTGGGATGGCATTGAATATTCACGTAAAGGGCCGTATGATTCCAAAAACGATATCAGATTGCAAAAAAGAGAAAAAATATATGGCACATTTTGCTTCTGCAAGCTTTTAATTTGGCGCTAAACGTGGGTCGCCCGCGTTCAGCAACTCACCCGTACTTCGTCTAGTGTCGCCAGGTAAGAAAATAGTTATGTTATTTTTAACAAATTATCTTGTTCCTCGCCAAATTAAACCCGGAATTCTCGAGTTAAGTATTAGAAGTGGCCAAAACAACAGAAACATTGTCTTTATTTTGGTAGCTGCGACTATTACCGTGTCGTTTCGGTAGGACAGTTCGGTTTTGATTGCCGCTGGTACGCGGGCGCAGTCGCCTTATGCAAGAAGGAGCGGCGTAACTTGTTGCTCGCAGACCACCCAATCCGGATTAAAACGCGTCAATTACAACGTCACCGCGCCTTTTACATGTATCTGACCAAAGGCGAATTACTAAAAACTTATTTTTTTTTTGTTCCAAACCACGCCTTACCTCTTCCACGCCTCAAGCAAGCTTTTCGCCTGCTTGAAATTGTAATCGTGGCGTAACAAGGCCGGCAAATCGTCCATGTTGCAGCTTTTCACATCCGACATACAAAAGTTTATTCCAAGCGGTTTGTCGTCCTGTGTACACATAAAATTCACAAGAACTACATGGATAATGAACATAGAGTTTGATTAAGTATGAATTTTGAATTAATATGATGAAGATACATGTATTTCACCCTCATGGCGAATGTTGAAAAATGTCTTTTAAGGCAGCGTCCATATGGCGTCACGATAATCATATTATTTCCCTGACCAAATTTTCCTCAAACACAAATCCAAAATAACCGGTGATTGTTGCATTTTTAACTACCTCCGGCGTGGTGTGGATGGAAAACTTTTGATGCGTTTTCAGAGTCAAACCTCCGTTTTAAAATTCTTCCGACGTAGCGTGGATGAGGCATACAGCGCTAACCCACCCTCAGGACAAAAGATTAGAGTACATCACGAAATCACAAACTGGTTTTGGTCGAAAAGACAACTCAGCCTAATAGGCCAATCAGCTCTTCGACATCTCTGAGCAGAGAGAAAATCTTACAACAATTTATCAAACAGTACTGCAGAGGGAGAACTAAAGCAAAGATAATCATATGATTACTATTGAAAGTACTTCAAAGAGTTACTAGTTAGATAGTTTACCTCGTCGTACAAATACACACGCTCCGTGTAGAGACTCAAGCAAAACTTTAACTTCATTGCTTCAGGGACATCATCTAGTTCATCTGACTCTTCTTCTTCCTCCAATACTGCTGCAGGTTCAGGCGTAAAATTACCTGTAGTAACTGGCGACGATGGCATCTTGCTATCGAGATTGCAAGTACGTTCAAACTGCTGAACATTATCTGCAGCAGCTGTTGTGCAGGTCTTCGGTTGTTCAGGAGTTGTTTGCAGCTTTTTCTTTAACTCGGTAACACTATAAAGATCCGAGCACTTTGTGAACAGTGGACTCGTGACTGCTGGACTTCTAGATGCGGTTTCACTGCTGGAAGGCAAAGAACTTTGTCCTGAACAACTGTCACTCTCCCACCAAGAATCGTCATCTTCCCATTCAGACAGGAATAATTCTTCCGCTGCAGCTTTCAGCTCTTCAAGATTTTCCTCCACTTTGCTGTCAGACTGTAGGCATGGCAACGAATTGTCACTAATAGCCACTTCCGTGGCGGAGACCGCTAAATTCTCTTCACAGCTGCCAGTCGCTCCAACGGAGTGAGCTGAGACGTCAGGCTTATCAGAGTACACCTCGAGACCAATTAGACAGCTTTCACTTTTCTGACGAGGTTTAAGTTCTACTTTATCATCGTCTATAGAAGGAAAACAATCTTCTGAACTAGTTGCGTCTTTATCGACAGGTGTACAGTGTGCCGCCTCTTTCTGATCAGTACTGGACGAAACTATTGAGTGACATGACAATGCTCTGTTCTGACATAAGCTATCTGAGTCATCAGAAAAATCATCAATTTCATCAGACATGTCAATGTCCCCTCGAACCTCCTCAAGTTTTAGCCTTTTCCGTGGCTTAGACTTGATCACGCCGGAACCATCCTGACTTGGGCCTACTTCCAGACCACCGTCTCTTTGTCTACTATCTGCATCATGGGATAATTCCACTGGTTCTGGAGTGAAGCCTTCAGCATCCGCTACTGAAGTGTCCTCGTCATCGTAAGTTACATGCATGCTATTGACGCCTCTGGACTCATCGATACCAGTAACGGAACAGCTGACAGGGTCGACGTCCATTTCTTGTCCGTTTTTGTCCTTATTCACCCTGTTTCTGTGCCATCGTCTTCTCTTACTTGCTTTGGTCTTCAAGCAATCCTTCTCCTCCCTCTCTACTTCATGTGCGTTCTTACTTGCACTCAGCCTCTGACTCCGTCTTCTTGGAATAAGACATATGGAGCACTCAATCATTTGTGACAAGTTCAAAAACGTACAGGCTGAGCACGACCAAGGAGGCAAGCCAGGCTCAGCGATCTGTCCCTTGTCAGAACCATCTACAGCCATTGCCTCTTCCAGAGTAGCAGAGTTGTGTCTTGCCTTTGGCGCGTCTGTCGATACTTCCTCTGAATCAACCAACGCGTCACGGATCAGTGTGCTATGCAGTAATACCAATGATTTTCTATCTTCATCGCCAGCTGTCTGTTGTGTAGACCCATCGTTTATACCTTCCAATGTCATGTCGTGCTTAGCTACCAAACCATTTTGCCCACAATTGTTACTAGCAGAATTGACACTTTTCGAAACCACTGCAGTTTCCACCATTTCCAGATTGTCGCAACTTTGTCTATTCGATATTTTAGAACCCAAATCTTTACTGTTGGGTGTGGTTGAGCTCTCCTCGTTAACAACACGCGGTGTGAGACAGACTGAGCATTCCAACAGCTGCCCATCATTAATAAAAGTGCACACGCTACAAGGCCATTCAGGAGGCAGCTTCTGATAATTGTTATGATTCCTAACGTCTCGAGTTACAGTTTTGTACTTAGATCTCTTAGTGCCCTTTCGCTTTTTGGTCTTGCTTGATTTCCGTGCAATGCATGCAGTAGACGCCTTCTGGGAATTTCTGATACTTGAAGCTTGAAAATCATCGGAAGAATCCTCATCAATACAACTAGAATTTGGTGCGTTTGTTTTGCTGGGTACGTTTTCCTTGCAAGTATCATTCTGCAACCAGCACTTTGCTGCAAATGAAGAATTATCAACAGTACTACTTCCTAGTACGTTTTCTTCCAGTGATTGCGTATTACAACAACTTTGTTCTCTTCCATCTTCTGCACTATTGCTACTTGGGCTGTTATCGTTTTTATCCAGGTTTGCTATTCCGTCCACATGAGCAAATTTAATTTCATGGGAAACACTTCCACCACTGGCATTGTTGAACACGCTCATTGGTTCCAAATCACCTTTGTTTTCACCAACAAACTCACCCTGGTTTAAGCCACCAGCTTCAGTGCAATTCTCCCTCTTGAAACCTTCTTCGTTTCGGCCATAGCTTGGATCGGAATTCTCCACTTCACTAATAGAATCTGTTTCAATTTGATCGCAGCTTTCTTCCGAATATTGACTCTTGTCTAAATACGATTTCAGAGGAGAGGTCTGTTTTTGTTCTCCCTCGCGCTTACAACGTGAATCGGCTAACATGATGGGGCTCACATTTTCTAAGGTCTTCCTTGGTGTGTCAAAGATATCAGCTTTAGCTTCATTTAAATCCTCATCTTCCTTACAGTCTCGTCGTATCTTTTGTCTGTCATCAATTCCATCTTTTACCTCTTGCTTCACACTTTCACAAGCACTATCATCTGACACTTGGCATCCGTTTTGCATTATGTTCGACGTCCTTTTACAAACCACGGCAACACATTCTATATCAGCTTCTTGTAAGGACGCCAGAAACCCACGCTCCTTTTGTCCAGAATCACCTCCACCGCCGCCAACTACACTAGAATCATCTACCTGTTCTCTTTTGACAATTGCTGGCTCGCATTCTTCATCCAAATAACCTTGTAGAGTCTGTGATTCCGAATCAGGATCATTTCCAACAAATTTCAAAGGACTTATATGTACACATTTACTTTCCTTCTGATGAAGTTTAGTGTAACTTTTGCTACCGGTGAAAGAAAGCTTGCCATCTTTCACTTTCTTGAACTTAAGCATTTTCGGCTTAAGTGGACAATGTTCTTCTTCAGTAGCTTGCTCTAAAGGCTGATCAGGTTTGCTTGCATCATTAAGACTCTCTTTGACATCATTTTGAGGATTCTGCACACATACTTCTTTGTGTTTACCATGTGTATTTTCCTCAGGGACGGGCTCAAACGCTAATAAGGAATTAAATGGAGCAAAAGTGTACCGTAAAGTTAGGTCTAAAAACATCCCCGCCCCATTTTGTATCCCCCAAACAATCCCACACTAATCCCAGCACCTCCCCTCGACCTCGCAGCGTAAAAACCCTCTGTTTACCAAGAGGAGAAGCCATCAGCTCATTTCCAACAGACTTCAAGCAATGCAACTTTTAGATAACTTTTAGATAAAGATTTTGACAATCGCTCAAGAGATAATATTCTCGTGTCCCAAGAAAAAAGTCACTTCTGTTAAGAAAGAAAAGGTGTCTCACAAGGATTGCTCAGAACCTGATGTACTTTTGATAGGACTGCATCAGACAAACCCTCTTCAAGTTGCAACATTTACTCAATGAGATCAACGTTGTTATTTCAACGTGTAAAACTCTACGTTTTAATTCCTGACCTCTCGCTTTAGAGTTTCACAGCGACTTATCCTAAGCCTTGATACGCGTTTCTACGCACTGCGTTTCTACGTTCCACTTCAAAAGATTCTCTGAACTTACGAAGTTTCTTCGCGAAATTCGCGACCTAAATAATACACTAACTAACAGAAACAGTTAAGTCAAAAACACTTGTTCAACAAAATGCCACGGGCAAGATAATTTTGTCACATTAGTCGAATTCTATTCAAGTGATGTTCACTTTAACTTATTCAGTTGTTCGAATTCACGTGCTAACAAGCGTTCTTAGCATTTTCGTTAGGCACGTTTACAAAAGACACGTATTCCTAAATTCTAGAAAAATCTCAACTGAACGCACACTTGTAACGTACGTTACCTTCTGAAATCAGGATGTCGTCGTCCAATTCATCCCAGGCCGAGATATCATCTTCATCACTGTCTTCCACAGTTATCAGCTTCTCCTTGGAGTTCATGGCTCCACCCTGCTCTACACTTTTCTTTCTAGAGTTGTCTCCATGTTGATATCCAATATTGCGTTCCGCAGAGTTTGGCTGAGAAGAACTTGGTGTTGCAACGAAAAATGATCGCAGGTCTCTTTGATTCTGATCTTTCTTAAGAGTCTTTGAAGAGAGCTACATCGTACAATTAAAAATAAAAAAAAAACGTTTTGTAGAAAACATTAACTTGAAATTGAATGCCAGGTAAGGTTTAAGCCATTTCAATAAAACGGATTGCTCTACTTTTAAATGTAGCTTGTATGTTGTTAGTGCATTCCTATTAATTAATTTAATCAACTGGAAACTTTAAAAGTGTTTCGATGACTGTAGAGTGATAAAATTGTAGAATTTATGCCTGTATTGTAGAGTTTGGTTTATGAATAGATGTACATTTGCCCCTGTCACCTAATTGAATCATCATATACTGACATTATTTACAGTGGTCACAAACTTTATCTTAGGTTTCTTTTTCTTTCTTCTTTCTTTATTTTTCTTCTCTTTTCTGTAGTTTTGTTTGTTTGTTTGTTTTGCTAACCTGCTCCATTACAAAATCCTCTAGGTCATCAGCATCCTCTTCCTGATCTTGTACCCAAGCAGCACACGCAGACAGTTGTCGGCTCTGGTCTTGATCTCCGTCCTCGACCTGAAGCTCTTCACACTTGCCATCAAGAGTGCTGCTGGTCACATACACCTATACAATACATTGAATATATAAATAAAGAGATGTGCCAGTTGAAACACTCGCCCCTGTCTGCATTTAGACTAACTAAAACATATACAGTTATCTCTTCCTGAGTTGAATAACCCTTTGATGAAACATCATATATCGTAGACCATCATTGTACCTTGCGCCTGATCATGGACCAAAGTATCTCATCGACGGTACCTCGTGCAATCAAATAATGAACATTAACAGGTAGCGTCTGACCAATCCTGTGAGCTCTGTCTTCTGCCTGGATAATGACTCCAGGGGTGTGGTGAAGCTCGGCAAAAACCACATGATGAGCTGCTGTGAGAGTGAGGCCCTGTGAATGGAGCATACATGTAACTGAGCATACAGACAAATACAACTCACAACTAAAATAATGATTAAACACAGCAATGTGCCAATCCTGGATTGAATCTTTGCCATGTACATCTGAGCGATTTTGCAAAAAACAGTCATGCCCAGTAGGTTTTTTCCTGGGCTCAGGTGCAGCCAGCTGCTCTAAACCTAGGGGAGCAGGGTGTCAAGGCTGGGCTGAGGACATAGCCTGGGCAGTGGCCTGTCTGTTCATGGTTTGTTAGCAGCCAGCCGTGAAAAGCAGTGTGCTTGAGTGATAGGCCAATCTACTAGCCAGGGGATTGGTCAAGGCACCTGGGGCCACTGAGACTGTCCTTGAGTTCTTTGCTGGCATGTTTTTGCAAATAGAGTCAGACATGTATTACAGACAAAGACACATTTTTCTGTGACCAAGTAAAATACATGTACATGTAAGTTGAATGAAAAGCCAAGCAAAGGTGCAGTGAATGGCTGTTATAATAATAACCAGTCTATAGCAAAGCTGATCTAGGGTGCAAAAATTTTGCATTTTGAAAGATCATTGTGTATATACTCACAAATGAAGCTGCTTCGATGGACAAGGCTGCAATGCGTACATTGGGATCGGTTTGAAACGAATGCACTAAACCCTAAAACAAACATATAATTATTTTAGTACATGTAAGTTGATCATCTGGCTATAGATATGTACAACATCTGGTGTTCAGTAAGTGTGACCATTTCCAGAGNTAGATAGTTTACCTCGTCGTACAAATACACACGCTCCGTGTAGAGACTCAAGCAAAACTTTAACTTCATTGCTTCAGGGACATCATCTAGTTCATCTGACTCTTCTTCTTCCTCCAATACTGCTGCAGGTTCAGGCGTAAAATTACCTGTAGTAACTGGCGACGATGGCATCTTGCTATCGAGATTGCAAGTACGTTCAAACTGCTGAACATTATCTGCAGCAGCTGTTGTGCAGGTCTTCGGTTGTTCAGGAGTTGTTTGCAGCTTTTTCTTTAACTCGGTAACACTATAAAGATCCGAGCACTTTGTGAACAGTGGACTCGTGACTGCTGGACTTCTAGATGCGGTTTCACTGCTGGAAGGCAAAGAACTTTGTCCTGAACAACTGTCACTCTCCCACCAAGAATCGTCATCTTCCCATTCAGACAGGAATAATTCTTCCGCTGCAGCTTTCAGCTCTTCAAGATTTTCCTCCACTTTGCTGTCAGACTGTAGGCATGGCAACGAATTGTCACTAATAGCCACTTCCGTGGCGGAGACCGCTAAATTCTCTTCACAGCTGCCAGTCGCTCCAACGGAGTGAGCTGAGACGTCAGGCTTATCAGAGTACACCTCGAGACCAATTAGACAGCTTTCACTTTCCTGACGAGGTTTAAGTTCTACTTTATCATCGTCTATAGAAGGAAAACAATCTTCTGAACTAGTTGCGTCTTTATCGACAGGTGTACAGTGTGCCGCCTCTTTCTGATCAGTACTGGACGAAACTATTGAGTGACATGACAATGCTCTGTTCTGACATAAGCTATCTGAGTCATCAGAAAAATCATCAATTTCATCAGACATGTCAATGTCCCCTCGAACCTCCTCAAGTTTTAGCCTTTTCCGTGGCTTAGACTTGATCACGCCGGAACCATCCTGACTTGGGCCTACTTCCAGACCACCGTCTCTTTGTCTACTATCTGCATCATGGGATAATTCCACTGGTTCTGGAGTGAAGCCTTCAGCATCCGCTACTGAAGTGTCCTCGTCATCGTAAGTTACATGCATGCTATTGACGCCTCTGGACTCATCGATACCAGTAACGGAACAGCTGACAGGGTCGACGTCCATTTCTTGTCCGTTTTTGTCCTTATTCACCCTGTTTCTGTGCCATCGTCTTCTCTTACTTGCTTTGGTCTTCAAGCAATCCTTCTCCTCCCTCTCTACTTCATGTGCGTTCTTACTTGCACTCAGCCTCTGACTCCGTCTTCTTGGAATAAGACATATGGAGCACTCAATCATTTGTGACAAGTTCAAAAACGTACAGGCTGAGCACGACCAAGGAGGCAAGCCAGGCTCAGCGATCTGTCCCTTGTCAGAACCATCTACAGCCATTGCCTCTTCCAGAGTAGCAGAGTTGTGTCTTGCCTTTGGCGCGTCTGTCGATACTTCCTCTGAATCAACCAACGCGTCACGGATCAGTGTGCTATGCAGTAATACCAATGATTTTCTATCTTCATCGCCAGCTGTCTGTTGTGTAGACCCATCGTTTATACCTTCCAATGTCATGTCGTGCTTAGCTACCAAACCATTTTGCCCACAATTGTTACTAGCAGAATTGACACTTTTCGAAACCACTGCAGTTTCCACCATTTCCAGATTGTCGCAACTTTGTCTATTCGATATTTTAGAACCCAAATCTTTACTGTTGGGTGTGGTTGAGCTCTCCTCGTTAACAACACGCGGTGTGAGACAGACTGAGCATTCCAACAGCTGCCCATCATTAATAAAAGTGCACGCGCTACAAGGCCATTCAGGAGGCAGCTTCTGATAATTGTTATGATTCCTAACGTCTCGAGTTACAGTTTTGTACTTAGATCTCTTAGTGCCCTTTCGCTTTTTGGTCTTGCTTGATTTCCGTGCAATGCATGCAGTAGACGCCTTCTGGGAATTTCTGATACTTGAAGCTTGAAAATCATCGGAAGAATCCTCATCAATACAACTAGAATTTGGTGCGTTTGTTTTGCTGGGTACGTTTTCCTTGCAAGTATCATTCTGCAACCAGCACTTTGCTGCAAATGAAGAATTATCAACAGTACTACTTCCTAGTACGTTTTCTTCCAGTGATTGCGTATTACAACAACTTTGTTCTCTTCCATCTTCTGCACTATTGCTACTTGGGCTGTTATCGTTTTTATCCAGGTTTGCTATTCCGTCCACATGAGCAAATTTAATTTCATGGGAAACACTTCCACCACTGGCATTGTTGAACACGCTCATTGGTTCCAAATCACCGTTGTTTTCACCAACAAACTCACCCTGGTTTAAGCCACCAGCGTCAGTGCAATTCTCCCTCTTCAAACCTTCTTCGTTTCGGCCATAGCTTGGATCGGAATTCTCCACTTCACTAATAGAATCTGTTTCCATTTGATTGCAGCTTTCTTCCGAATATTGACTCTTGCCTAAATACGATTTCAGAGGAGAGGTCTGTTTTTGTTCTTCCTCGCGCTTACAACGTGAATCGGCCAACATGATGGGTTTCAAATTTTCTAAGGTCTCCCTTGGTGTGTCAAAGATGTCAACTTTAATTTCATTTAAATCCTCATCTTCCTTAGATTCTTGCCTAATCTTGTGTCTGTCATCAATTCCATCTTTCACCTCTTGCTTCACACTTTCACAAGCACTATCATCTGACGTTTGGCATCCGTTTTGCATTATATTCGACGTTCTTTTACAAACCACGGCAACGCATTCTATATCAGCTTCTTGTAAGGACGCTAGAAAACCACGCTCCTTTTGTCCAGAATCACCTCCACTGCCTCCAGCTACACTACAATCATCTACCTGTTCTCTTTTGACAATTGCTGGCTCGTATTCTTCATCTAAATAACCTTGTAGAGTCTGTGATTCCGAATCCGGATCATTTCCAACAAATTTCAAAGGACTTAAATGTACACATTTACTTTCCTTCTGATGAAGTTTAGTGTAACTTTTGCTTCCGGTGAAAGAAAGCTTGCCATCTTTCACTTTCTTGAGCTTTAGCATTTTCGGCTTAAGTGGACAATGTTTTTCTTCAGTAGCTTGCTCTAAAGGCTGATCAGGTGTGCTTGCATCATTAAGACTCTCTTTGACATCATTTTGAGGATTCTGCACACATACTTCTTTGTGTTTACCATGTGTATTTTCCTCAGGGACGGGCTCAAACGCTAATAAGGAATTAAATGGAGCAAAAGTGTACCGTAAAGTTAGGTCTAAAAACATCCCCGCCCCATTTTGTATCCCCCAAACAATCCCACACTAATCCCAGCACCTCCCCTCGACCTCGCAGCGTAAAAACCCTCTGTTTACCAAGAGGAGAAGCCATCAGCTCATTTCCAACAGACTTCAAGCAATGCAACTTTTAGATAACTTTTAGATAAAGATTTTGACAATCGCTCAAGAGATAATATTCTCGTGTCCCAAGAAAAAAGTCACTTCTGTTAAGAAAGAAAAGGTGTCTCACAAGGATTGCTCAGAACCTGATGTACTTTTGATAGGACTGCATCAGACAAACCCTCTTCAAGTTGCAACATTTACTCAATGAGATCAACGTTGTTATTTCAACGTGTAAAACTCTACGTTTTAATTCCTGACCTCTCGCTTTAGAGTTTCACAGCGACTTATCCTAAGCCTTGATACGCGTTTCTACGCACTGCGTTTCTACGTTCCACTTCAAAAGATTCTCTGAACTTACGAAGTTTCTTCGCGAAATTCGCGACCTAAATAATACACTAACTAACAGAAACAGTTAAGTCAAAAACACTTGTTCAACAAAATGCCACGGGCAAGATAATTTTGTCACATTAGTCGAATTCTATTCAAGTGATGTTCACTTTAACTTATTCAGTTGTTCGAATTCACGTGCTAACAAGCGTTCTTAGCATTTTCGTTAGGCACGTTTACAAAAGACACGTATTCCTAAATTCTAGAAAAATCTCAACTGAACGCACACTTGTAACGTACGTTACCTTCTGAAATCAGGATGTCGTCGTCCAATTCATCCCAGGCCGAGATATCATCTTCATCACTGTCTTCCACAGTTATCAGCTTCTCCTTGGAGTTCATGGCTCCACCCTGCTCTACACTTTTCTTTCTAGAGTTGTCTCCATGTTGATATCCAATATTGCGTTCCGCAGAGTTTGGCTGAGAAGAACTTGGTGTTGCAACGAAAAATGATCGCAGGTCTCTTTGATTCTGATCTTTCTTAAGAGTCTTTGAAGAGAGCTACATCGTACAATTAAAAATAAAAAAAAAACGTTTTGTAGAAAACATTAACTTGAAATTGAATGCCAGGTAAGGTTTAAGCCATTTCAATAAAACGGATTGCTCTACTTTTAAATGTAGCTTGTATGTTGTTAGTGCATTCCTATTAATTAATTTAATCAACTGGAAACTTTAAAAGTGTTTCGATGACTGTAGAGTGATAAAATTGTAGAATTTATGCCTGTATTGTAGAGTTTGGTTTATGAATAGATGTACATTTGCCCCTGTCACCTAATTGAATCATCATATACTGACATTATTTACAGTGGTCACAAACTTTATCTTAGGTTTCTTTTTCTTTCTTCTTTCTTTATTTTTCTTCTCTTTTCTGTAGTTTTGTTTGTTTGTTTGTTTTGCTAACCTGCTCCATTACAAAATCCTCTAGGTCATCAGCATCCTCTTCCTGATCTTGTACCCAAGCAGCACACGCAGACAGTTGTCGGCTCTGGTCTTGATCTCCGTCCTCGACCTGAAGCTCTTCACACTTGCCATCAAGAGTGCTGCTGGTCACATACACCTATACAATACATTGAATATATAAATAAAGAGATGTGCCAGTTGAAACACTCGCCCCTGTCTGCATTTAGACTAACTAAAACATATACAGTTATCTCTTCCTGAGTTGAATAACCCTTTGATGAAACATCATATATCGTAGACCATCATTGTACCTTGCGCCTGATCAT